CTCCCAAAGAACACCACAGTCACGGGCTATTATTATGCACAACAGATGCATAGATTGCGCAAAGCCATCAGAGAAAAACGCCCTAGTCTTCTCACTCGAAAAGTTCTTCTTTTGCATGACAATGCACCAGCTCACAAATCATTGCTTGCACAAGCTGCCATCAGGGAATGCGGCTTCGAACAACTTCACCATCCACCGTATTCTCCAGATCTGGCCCCCAGCGACTATTTCCTGTTTCCAAACACCAAGAGATATCTCAAGGGAAAGCAGTACAAGACCGAAGAAGAGATTTCAACCGATATTTTCAACGTATGGGAGGACAAGAGTGCCGAATGGTTTGAGGGGGGAATTAAAGCATTGAAGTATCGTTATGAAAGTGTCATTCGTGTACATGGAGACTACTTTGAATAATAAATATACTCATTTAAAAATACAACGTGTCTTGCTATATCAGGCTTAAAACTTTTGCCTCCCCCTGTGAGAAAATGTATAGACAGGCGAAGCGAGAAAAAAATGGAAATTCGACTCATGTCGAATCAATCGCAAAAATGCATTGAAATTGGTTTTTCTTCATAACGACTGCAGAAGAGAGAGAAAAAACACACACATGACTAATATAATTGACGAGCGTAGGCCATATTTTGTTCACAACAATGAACGGACTTTGGTTGCAAATCTTAGCTGAATATATAAAAAAAGCACTAAGCGAATTGCAGATGAATCGAGATTGTCTGCTGCGATCGATGTCCATAAACCAATCTCATATCATGTAACACGAAAAGCGAACAGTGAAAAGAAAAAAACTGCATAATGCACCAAAGTTTTTAATTTTGTAACAGGAGCTAAAAAACAGATTCAATTGAAATCCATACCATTGTCGAATGACAAGCGAATTGAAAAAAATTCGATTTCTGCTTTTAACTCTTTTCATTTCGCAGAAGAAAGAGAAGTAGCCGGAAAAAAAACCGATTGGAAAATGTTATAGCAAAAATATGAATGAGTCCCGCATCGATGCGGCATAATTGTTTCCCTCTTGCCGCGTGAATTTCAACTACTGTGCCATTGTTTTCTCTCTCTCTTGTTTGGCGCTTTTTTTGTTTGTTTGTTGCACTGACCACACCGCTCGTATGCCGGAACTCAGTGACTTGAAATTGATGCAATATTAATAAAGCATGGTCCCTGCATTGTTGCGCTACTTGCTTCGGTCTAACCGCGAATAAAAAACACGCTGAACATTTTTTTTTATTAAAAGGGGCCAATAGACATTGTATGGCATATAGGCATTGTATGGCAAATCTTTGCTGTGAAACAACAACCGTCTTTCTCGCATTATATGATGCATTTAATAACTATTGGAAGTATAAATTAAAACGTAAGGATTCGTATCTAACTTCATATCTATCACACATGCAATTGTTTGGACAGTGAAAGCTGTTGTATCTTAAAGAGCGTCAAAAAATCTACTAAATTCGATCTGTCAAAGTTCTGCACACACAAGTTTTTTATTGCGATTAAAATGTCGAATTACGTTCCAACCAAGCGTTCAGAAAGACATACATTTATGCGAGCAATTGAATGATGCTTGCATCATTTGATGCGCATCGCTAGTGCTTTCGTTGTGCGTTCGAAGCACTTCGTGCGCTGCCGAAGATCCGAATGTATGGCAACAGCACAATCGCTCGCATAAATGTATGTCTTTCTGAACGCTTGGTTCCAACAAAACAGCATTTGCGGGAAGCAATGCTTTTGTACTTTAATCAAAAGAAAAGTGCTGCTGAATGTCATCGTTTGTTGTCGGAAACGTGTATGTGAAAAATGGTTTAGAAGATTCAGAAGTGGTGATTTTGACACGGAAGACAAAGAGCGTCCAGGCCAGCCGAGAAAATTTGAAGATGAAGAATTGGAATTGTTACTCGATGAAGATCCATGCCAAACGCAAGAAGAACTCGCTAAATCATTGGGAGTAACTCAAGCAACCATTTCACAACGTTTAAAAGCATTAGGGTTCATCCAAAAATTTGGAAACTGGTTGCCGCACGAATTGAAACCGAGAGATGTTGAAAGGCGTTTTACCATCTGAGAAATGCTGCTCGCAAGACAAAAAAGCAAGTCATTTTTGGATCGAATTGTTACGGGCGATGAAAAGTGGATCCACTACGATAACCCAAGGCGAAAAAAATCATACGTTCGACGCGGCGAACCAGGACCATCGCAATCAAAGCAAGATATTCATTGCCGGAAGGTAATGCTCTGTGTTTGGTGGGATCAAAAGGGTATCGTTTATTATAAGCTGCTGGAACCGGGTGAAACAGTCACAGGAGATTGCTATCGACTACAACTGATGCGATTGAAGCGAGCATTGGACAAAGATCGGAAAGAATGGAGGGGAAAACACCACCGGTTAATTCTTCAACATGACAATGCTCGGCCACATATTGCAAATGTCGTCAAACAATACTTGTCGACAATAGGATGGGAAGTTCTACCCCACCCGCCGTATTCACCAGACATTGCTCCTTCTGATTACTACTTGTTTCGAACGATGCAAAACGAATTGGCAGGCAAACCCGAGTGGAAAAAAAGTGAATAAGTTACTATTGACTGTAAGTGACTATAGTTGGCTATATTCATGAATTTTAAAATTTTGTATGAAAAACAATCAACTATAGTTACTCAGTCAGTCAGGCGATTATTTTGGGACGTTTCGACTATCAGGTGACTATGATTATTGTCAACTATAGTTAGCTGTTGCAGTTAACCATAGCTTACTTTAATTGATTGAAGTTAACTAAATTTAACTGAGGTTGCTTGTTTTTACAGTCAATAGTCAGTCAGTTTGTCCCAAAATAGTCAGTCACTTTTTTTGTACACGGGAACGCTTCACTTCTTCGGAAGAAATCGCAAATTGGGTCGGTTCGTGGTTTCGTTCAAAACAACAACCATTCTTTTGGCACGGAATCCATGAATTGCCTGGAAAATGGGAAAAAGTAGTGGCTAGCGATGGACAATACTTTGAATAAAAAAATGTGTACCATCCTCTTGAAATAAATGCTCAATTTCAGTGAAAAATCCTTACGTTTTAATTTATACTTCCAATATGTGATCTATCAAGTTTTAACGACGATGTTTTAGTATCGATATAAAAGTTGATGTTTTTTTTGCACAAGTACACTTTTAACTGTTTGAAAGCAAGCACACTGCAAGAGTAAAATCAACGCATTTTTCCAAATTTCGGAAGAATTTCTCTCAATACGATTTGGGAGAGAAAAAAAAGTTTCAATGCTGGAAAAAATTGTACGCTTTTTTGAGTCTCGTTACATTTAACACTTGGAAGTAGAACTCAATTTGCAATAATGATGATTCACTCTATGATGATGAAACAATGTCGCGACGAAAAAAAACAAAAACAATCCGCACAAAAAATGAAGCTCACGAAAAATTGAGTGTACACAACGAATCGATTTCGTGGCCATCAATCAAACTTGTTCTCAATTATGTGACAAAATTATAGTTTGGCTACGTATACACAATGAATTTAATGACAGTTAAAATGGTTTTTGTATCACAGTTGAATGAAAGTGGTTCACGTCGTTGCGTTTTTCGACGATGTTTGGCATGTTTTGGTTTTAAAATCTTCAGCTCACTTTTCAACATGTTCGAAAAAAGTGTAATCAGATCGAATGAATGAATTTCAGAAGAACAAAGTGCGACAATTTGTATAAAAAGCAACATTAAATCGACGAAGTTGGATACTTTTGGTCCGTTAGACGATTGTATCTTTCTGAGCCAAGCTAGTTTCTAGAAAATGTTTAGGGGAAGTAGTTGGAATTAAAGTCAACCATTGAGTTACTCTCATTTACACTTCTTTCAATACAAGACTTGATAACCCATTTTTTGAAACGCAAGTTCGGTTTTTATGTGGAGAAGATAGAAAGTGGATGAAAGATTTGTTGCACGAAAAAGTGCAAAAATTCTTCTTCAAAAATTGACACAAAAATATTTATAGAATTTCAGATTTCGATGATTTTGAGGGGTTCATTCAAGACCCTCTGAGATAAGATATGTGTTTGTCGCAAATTTTCCAAAAAATTACTCCCTTGTTTAAAGCCAATTCCTTCCAAAATACAATAGCTTCGAAAACTGCCATACCAACATAAGTTTCTGCCAAACAACTTTCTTGAATGTCGAAAGTAAAAATGTTGAAAGAAATTAAATAAGACGCGAAATGCTTCAATAAAAATTAAAGATGCGAATTTATTGAATTTTACGACAACGAGAGAGTGAATGAGATATAAAGCGAAACAGAGATACAGACCGACCGAGAAAGAAAGAGGGATAGAGAAAGAGAATGGCATAAAAATAGTGAGAAAATGATAAAACAAACACACTGTTCAACAACTGAAAATTACTTTTAGTAAATAGGAAAAGTTCAAATGGATTTTTTTTGCGAATTAAAGCGATGATGGTGTTGATTACGAGAAACTGAAATCGATTGAGCAAATAAATGAAGCAAAACCATTATAACGGCCACGGTGTGTGTATTTTTCTCTGAATGATGGTGGGCACCCATTTGCACGTGCGAAACTTGCTAAATGTAAAACTACCAATTCTACATATTATTACATTGTTTATATCGATTGCATTGAACACGTGTGAAATCGAACTGAATTGGATTACGTTCGAATCGCTTTTGGAGATGGTTAATTACAAACAATGCAAATGAAACAAACCAGAAAGAGAGAGAGAGAATTATTTCTCTGTGTCAAATTGAATAGCATTCAATATGAATATTCATTTCTTGTGGTTATGGGATACACTTGTGCTTGAGAATTGTTCTATGCTTTCTCATTGTTTGCTTGGGAATTTAATGGGCACACAGGAAGTCTTAATTGGTCAAGACTTACATTTAAAAATGCAAATAAATGCCGATATATATATATTTTTTTTTTTGTGAAAAGTCATCCAATATATTCCATACATTTCACATATTGAACGGAAGTGCTTGTGCGCTCCATATTCTGGTAGCCCAGTTTATGCTTATACATATGTAATTATAATTATTGTTTGTTGCGCTTTTCAACAACTTCATTTTTATTCTGCGATTTAACACAAATGCTAAAACTATGAAATTGAAATTGTGCTCATTCACAGTGTGCTTCTCATTCAATAAAACTGTAATTACAAATGGTTTTACAAGTGAAACAAAAAAATCGCAATCCCATTTAAAAGATACTCATTCTTTGGAAACAAAGTATTTTCTCTTTCACCGGACGAAGCGAATACACAGCGGTAACGTCGACAATTCGTTGTTGAGTTTCAAGAGACGCGATTGATGTGACTTTAAATTGATTTTCAAAACGAAGACTCATCATTAAAAACTTCTCAATCTCGATGAATAAAAAAACCAATTCTCCCCGTTAAAGTTGCTATGCCTGTTCGAAGTATTTTGTTGCGTAAAAGTCGTTAACTATGATTTTTGCTCCATTTTCAGTTAAATTTAATGTATCGCAAAAATGGCCGCTTACGTTGGATTATCGCAGCAAATTAATTTTGTGCGGCTACCATCACCCGGAGATCGATTCGAATTACGCGATTTAATTGGCGAAGGTACATATGGTGAGGTATATAGTGCAGTTGATCGGTCGACGGGGAAGAAAGTGGCAATCAAAATTCTCGAATCAATCACCGATAATCTTGAAGAAATCGAAGAAGAATATCTTGTGCTACGCGATTTATCACAACATCCAAATTTGCCAACATTTGTTGGCATCTTTTTGAAGAAAGGCGTATGCTTTGAAGATGATCAACTTTGGTTTGTGATGGAGGTTAGTCAGCAAAATAACATTTCGAAATGTATTTGGGTAGTGAGAATAAAAATACTTTTACATTTAAACTCTTAATGATTATCGTTACAGCTATGCACTGGCGGTTCGGTGACAGATTTAGTACAAGGTTTGTTTTTTTTTTTTCTTTTTTTTACTATAATATTATTTGCTTACTGCGTAGCGTTGCTACCCGGTTCGATGCTTTGAAGCGCATCGATCCCGGTGAAGGGTTAAATAAATACAATTGATATTTGATTGCTCTAGAATAAAAACAGCATATTAAATGGTTGCAAGAAGACGCTTTTTTCCATAGTTTTGTTGTTGTAGTTTGTATGAATATATGAAAAAACGTCTGGTTTCGCTTTGATATGCGACCATTTAATATGCTGTTACTTTTCCGCACACACCTAGTGTGTAAGGGGAAAGTATTGCAATGGTTCAAAATTTACGACACCTCAAAAACATGTTTTCTGGACGTTTCTGAGGTCAGAGAACCCGAATCAGGCCGTTTTGAGCTTGGTTGTTGTGGGTCTGTTCCACGTGGTACCTTGTACGTTATCCACCGTACGCAAAATTTGTCTATCGATTATCTCAACCCCCGAAAAAGTTATTTAAAATCTGACTGTACAGGATGATTGGGGGTCGCGAGGAATAGAAATTATTAGCTTTTGAGCGACTTTGGTTGATGAAAAAAAATGCATGCCTGGAGTGATACCTATGAAAAAGAGTCCAATTTTCGTCCAAAAGTCATACTTAATACAGACTTAAACACTCAAAAATATGTATTGGGGGGTTTTTTGGCACGAGAAAACCGAATCCGTAAGTTTTGAGATACAATCAATTTTTGATACAGTTTCCTTGAAAAAACCACAAAAAAATTAATTTTTATATGGGAGCCATGTCTGTATGCTACCTTAATGACGTGAAACTTTGCACAGACTATTTTTTACACAAAAAAATAACATTCTGAAAGTTTGAAGAGATTTCAATCAAAATTAGGGGTACCTCCCATACAAAATTTTCATTTGGCTCAAAAGCGAATATTTTGTATGGGAGGTACTCTTAATTTTGGTTGAAATTTCTCCAAACCCTCCGAATGTTATTTTTTGTAAAAAAAACCTGTAAAAAGTTTCACGCCATTAAGGTAGCATACAGACATGGCTCCCATACAAAAATCCAAATTTTTTGTGACCTTAGTTATGAAAAGTGTTTCAAAAATAATTTTTATGGCAAAATTAACGTCAGACATATTTTTATAGCGCTTTGTTAGAAAATAGAATACTTTCAAATATCATACAAATGAGTTCATCATGATAGTGTGAAAAATCTTTTGCGGATTCTTCTGCTATCAAATTAAAGAATATTTCGATGCCGAATATATATAGCTTGATAAAATACGCATCTACCACCGTGCGGAAAAGTTCGTCTTACTCCTGTAAGACTCTTTATTTGTATGGGAGCCATGCCTGTATGCTACCTTAATGACGTGAAAATTTGCACAGACTAATTTTTACACAAAAAAATAACATTCTGAAAGTTTGAAGAGATTTCAATCAAAATTAGGGGTACCTCCCACACAAAATTTCCAATGCTTGGCTCAAAAACGAATATTTTGTATGAGAGGTACCCTTAATTTTGGTTGAAATTTCTCCAAACCCTCCGAATGTTATTTTTTGTGAAAAAATAACCTGTGCAAAGTTTCACACCATTAAAGCTGCTACCAGACATGGCTCCCATACAAAAATTCAAATTTTTTGTGACTTTAGTTATGAAAAGTGTTTCAAAAATAATTCTTATGGCAAAATTAACGTCAGAAATATTTTTTATAGTGTTTTATTAAAAAATAGAATACTTTCAAATGTCGTACAAATGGGTTCATCATGAAAGTGTGAAAAATCTTTTGCGAGTACTTCTGCTATTAAATTAAAGAATATTTTGATGTCAAGGTTTGAACATATTTTTTCGTCTCGAAATTTATGCCGCTTGAAAGGCTTGGAAAATCGAACTTGAACTAGCTTGAATATTATTTTGAACTAGCTTAATAAAATACGCAACTACCTCCGTGCGGAAAAGTTCGTCTTACTTCCGTAAGAGTCTTTATTTTTATTCTAGAGCAATCATTTATTCACTTTAAATAGATTTCGTATACATCAAAATTTATTCATTCTTTACTTGAGCTTGAGCTGGAGCTCGAGCTTGAATCAGTGCATTTTGTTCCACAACGATTTTTTTTAGTTAAATCAGGTTTGTAGAGGGGTGGACTGCTATCATTCAAGCCTTTTATTTTGAATAAACATCTATTGGGTGAAGTTGTATTTCGAAATTCGATTTCCCCAGTTAAAATAACATTTGAAATCGTTGAAGATGTAACATAAAGAATATCATTGTTTGGACCACCAAACACCATTGATGTTAAATATGGTGTTGGAAGTTTAATTTTATCAACAATTTTTTTCGATCTGTGAATAAATAAATAGTAAATCATTTTTTGCTACATGGAAATTATTAAAAAAAAAGAAAATAAATTACTTTCGATTGATTTTTAATACTACGGATTCTTTATACAATCCGACATATATGTAGCGCGTTCGTCGAAATGCGATTCCCACAAGAAGCATATGCTTAGGAAAGTTTAGTTGCATAAAAACTCGTTCATTGGCTATTCAAAATAAAACATTCACACATTTACAAATTATGTTGAATATTAATTTCGAATTGAAATTTTCTCACCAAGAAAATTCAGTTATGGTTTGAGTACATCCATCTAAGTGCAATAGTGTTTTTGCTTTTGGATCAAATGCAAGGCCAGTTGTTACTTTAAAGTCCGAGAGAGTCGGACGTACTACAAATATCTGGATCAAAAGTTCCAACGAAAAAATTTCCCAGTGTATCAGCAACTCCATGGTTCATTAAATGAATTGTGTTCGATTTAACGCTGAACATTTTTTTAAGATCTTTTACATGGCGTGACTTTCCATCCCATTTTATTGTAAAAACCGATCGATTACAACCAACGCCCGCCAACGCCGTATAAATTTGGGCTATTTCGTACGGGAAACATAAAGCCTGGCGACGAATCCGGATGGAAATCAACTAAATACATTTTTTTCTCATAATATGAATAATGATACATTTTTTTTCCAAAAATATCCGAAAAGTATATGGATTGAGTTTCTTTATCCCATATTGGCGATTCGCCTATATTCAAATCGGATGATGTTGACACTGATGTTATTGAATATTTTGGAACTGATTTTGAACAATGAACCAACTGAAATATTAATCGATATTAGTAATGTAATTTATTTATTTTTTTTGAATTAATATAAAACAGCTACAATTAAAGCAATCAAACAACTTAAAACAACTATTGATTTATACATTTCACTTATAAGTATCAATTCGATTCAATCAATTTTATGTTAATAATTTTGGAAAGATGCTGCAAGATTATTCAAATGCGTCTATAATAATTATTAAATGCGTCAATTTGTAAAAGCTTTTTTATTTTTATTGTGCATGTGTGATGCAACGATGAAATGCAAAACAAATCTGTTTTTAATTTTAAATCATGACAAAAACACTTAATGAATCTGCTTTAATGTCACAACTTAGCAACGACAGATGGTCTTGGTAGATTATTCAGTAAGAATAATTGAAAAAAAGGCACACTTGCACAATGAAAATAAACAGTGATTGCAAATTGTGTTATTGTTAATTCAGCAATGTGGGAAGAGGGGAGGGGAAGGATCGTGTACGTCCACACAAAAATCGACTTTAATCATGCCATGTACACGTGCGGCTGCTCAGGCCCTATGCAGGAAGCAAATAATAGTGCATATTTTTATAAATTTACATTCAATGTGGATGTTGAGCTTATGAAGTTGTAGACAATGTGGCGCATAGTTGAAGAAAAATCTATTACGAAAAAGAACTTCACTGAGAATCTTTCAAGTTCAAATCCCAGAAAAGTAATCAAATCCAACTTTTTAAAACGATTTTGTTTATTTCCTCAATTTTCTAGAATAGCCAAAAATTGAATGGTGTTCTATTGAGATAAATTTGAACACTTTAAACTCAATATAATAAAATACAAAGTCTTAATGCATGCGCAATTTCTTTTATAGGTTTACGTAGTCGAAATGAACGTATGAAAGAGGATCACATTGCATACATTTTGCTAGAAACTCTAAAAGGACTGATTCATTTGCATGAGAATCATTGTATGCACAGGTAAATTTATTCAGATCAAAATCAAATGCCGCAAATTACTATGCGAATTACCCATGAAATGGAATGTTAATAAACATTTAATTATTTTTTCTTTCAAATTCGAATGGATGCAATAGAGACATCAAAGGCCACAATATTCTGTTAACTGATGAAGCGTATGTAAAATTGGTTGACTTTGGCGTAAGTTCACATCTGGCGGCAACGATGGCTCGTCGAAACACGAGCGTCGGTATGTTTCATCTTGATGTATTTCAATTAAATATTTTGACTTCAGGTTATAATATCAAAAATTGTCGATTTGAATGCAAATACTTCCTTGCATCAGGTACTGTCATCTAAATGAAATTCAATTTATTAAATAGGTACACCGTATTGGATGGCCCCGGAAGTTATCGCATGCGAACAACAACTGGATCAGTCATATGACTCTCGTTGTGATGTTTGGTCTATTGGCATTACAGCAATTGAACTGGCAGAAGGCGATCCACCACTTTCGGATATTCATCCAATGCGTGCTCTATTTCAAATACCACGAAATCCACCACGTAAGAATTTCACTTCTGCCCATGAAAATCATTTTTTAAAAAAATGTATTTCAGCACACTTAGCCAAACCAGAATTGCGTTCAGTTGAACTTGGTAAATTTATATCGGAATGTTTGATAAAAGACATGGAAAAACGGCCATTTGCAAAGCACTTACTTCGGCATCCGTATTTTATGAATATTACTGGAAAATTGGATACCATACGAAACGAACTCAAAAAAGAGATTCAAAAACAAAGAAACGAGGGCGTTCTACGTCGTCAGGCCGAAGCGACAACAAAATATGGACAATTGAAACCAGACCGTAAATCGAAACCACAGAAAATGTATATGGATGATTTAGGTGAGAATTTATTTTAGTTTTTCCATTGTCAAACGGCGTGCAAATTGATTTTAATGAAAATGAAAATTAAACTTTAATTTCATTGCAGCTGCACTTGAAGTTTTATCCGAAGAAGTAATAACCGAGCAATTGCAAAAGCGATTCGAATCAAATCAAATTTATACGTACATCGGCGATATATTAGTTGCTGTGAATCCGTTCATTAATTTGGGCTTATATTCGAAACAGCATCAAAAACGCTACATTGGACGATCACGATTTGAAAATCCGCCGCATATATTTGCCGTTGCCGATGCTGCGCATCAGGTGAGTTTCGTTTTTTAATTCAATTGTAAATAAATGATAAGATTTGAGTCGTTGTTTGAAGTGGTCATGAATGAAAATCAAAATTGCAACTCAATTCCGTTTTATTGCAGGCGTTATTGCATCAAAAACAGAATCAAGCGATTGTAATAAGTGGCGAAAGTGCAAGTGGAAAAACGGAAAGTGGAAATTTGTTGTTGAAGCAATTGGTGTATTTGGGTAAAGCTCCAAATCGTAATTTGGAAGAGCGTATACTGCAAGTGAATCCGTTGATGGAGGCATTCGGAAATGCACGAACTGGCATAAATGGCAATAGTTCACGATTTGGCAAATATTTGGATTTGACAATGACACGTAGCGGTAAAGTGACCGGTGCTCGAATAAGCGTCTATTTGCTTGAACAGAGTCGTGTCGTTCAGCAAGCAAATAATGAGGGAAATTTTCATATATTCTATTATTTATACGATGGTTTGGAGCATGAAAATAAGCTGAGCAGTTATTATTTGGATCCAATGTATCGTGAACAGCATCGATATTTATCGAAAACACAAAATTCCACACCGCAAAAGAATGTCGAACGATGGAAACAATTGAAGGCATGTTTTAAAGTGCTTGGATTTCGTGACGATGAAATAGATACGGTGAATCGAGTGTTGGCAGCGATTTTAAATTTAGGCGATTTAGAATTTGGTGAAATCGATTGTTCCGACGATAATACGGATAATAAAGCGCGTGTTGTTGACGTTGCACCAATGCATCGTGTCGCCAAATTGCTTGGAGTTGAAGTCAATCATTTATTGGATGCATTGACAAAGAATTGCGTTGTTACCAAAGGTGAAACAATCACACGAAATAATACGGTGACCGAAGCGGCAGCTGCACGTGATGCCATGGCCAAAGCACTTTATGGCCGACTATTTGATTGGATGGTTAATCAAATCAACACATTACTAAGCTTTAATCGGTCAAACAATGACATTTTAGCCATTGGTTTACTCGATATTTTCGGATTTGAAAACTTTCCACACAATTCGTTCGAACAACTCTGTATTAATATTGCCAATGAACAAATTCAATATTATTTTAATCAACACATCTTTACGTGGGAGCAACAAGTAAGCACTTTTTAACACATACACACAGCACTTAATTTTCGATTGTGTCCAATGATTTTTCGTTTCTCTAGGAGTACCTTGCCGAAGGAATACCAGTGAATTTAGTTGAATTCTCGGATAATCGACCTGTTCTTGATATGCTGTTGAGTCGACCACTTGGTCTTTTGGCTTTGTTGGACGAAGAAAGTCGCTTTCCGCGTGCTACCGATCGCAGCTTTATTCGTAAGCCAATTTCCTTTTTAAATTTCAAAATTGAAAACCGTGAATAGTTTTTAGTAAGTTTTTTTTTCTTTTCAATTTGTCATCGATTCGCAGAGAAATGTCACAATAATATCAAATCAAAGTTTTACATCAAACCAAAATCGGACGCAATCTGTTTTGCCATACATCATTTTGCCGGTCGTGTTGTATATCAAGCGGAGAATTTTTTGGAAAAAAATCGCAATTTCTTACCAACTGAAGTGATTCAATTGATACGAAGCAGTAATTTTGAAATGGTTCGCTTTCTATTCCAATGTCCAATTACAAAAACTGGCAATCTATGTTCGGCTCTGCAAGAATCATCGTCGGCATCATCGGCGCTAGCCGCAAATCAACCCGTTGCCAATTTCAATAAAACTGATACACGTGAACCGTTCAATTCGCGTGGTTTGGCATCACAATCTCGTGCGCAACAAACGGTCGCCACATACTTTCGATATTCATTGATGGATCTCTTGCAAAAAATGGTAGCCGGTTCACCGCAATTTGTGCGATGCATTAAACCAAACGATAAACAAACGGCCAAACAATTTGACGGAACCAAAGTTTTAAAACAGTTGAGATGTGCGGGCGTGTTGGAAACGATTCGCATTCGACAGAATGGTTTTAGTCATCGTTTAACATTTGCCGATTTTTTAAAACGTTATTGCTTCCTTGCTTTCGGTTTCAAAGAGAAAGTTACGGCAAGCAGAGAAAATTGTCGCATATTATTGGTTCGATTGCGATTCGATGGATGGGCACTCGGAAAAACTAAGGGTAAATCAATATTATCTTTCATGTTATTTATCACACAAAGTCACCGAACAATTGTTTTTGATTTCGACATATATTTTCAGTGTTTCTGAAGTACTATCATGTTGAGCATTTGGCAAAATTGTATGAAGAGCAGTTGCGACGAATCGTTTTAGTGCAGGCATGTGTACGACGATGGTTGGCTCGTGTTCATTATCGACGCACGAAAATGCGACGGGCAAAGAGTGCAATGACAGTTCAACGGTATGTCAGAGGGGCCTTTTTTTGCTATTAATTATTATTGATGGTTTTACGATTATTTGTCGATTATTTTAAATTAATTCTTTTCTTTTGTGATTCCCCCCTTAGGTATGTCAGAGGTTGGTTGACCAGACAACGTATACAAAAAATGCGAAACGATTGGGAACAACGGCAAAAAGAAGAACAACATCGCCGACAGTCGGTTATACAACGAGAAAGTAAAGGATATTTTCCACATTTTTTTAATCAAAATTTCAAGAATCAAAACAAAATTTTTGTTATTTTTCTCATTAAATTTTTCTGCGGGGAATTATAGGCATGCAACTGGAGGTACAGAAGATGATGGCAAAGAAGAAAGTGGTAGAAAAACAACAGCAGCCACAACAGCAAATCATTGCAGATGGTCGCGATAAATCAACGGCTGACAACAATGGAAACTGTAATTTAAAAACACATTGTCGACCTTTGATTTCAAAGTCATTACCATTAGTCACTGCATTAATTGTTCTCCATTTTCGGTTTGGTTTTGTTTTGCCATAGATTACCGTGGTAGTAATACGATTCGAATGAAACGTTGGATGCCGGAAATCGAGCAAAAGATAAAATACGCGTTCAATGTCATTAAAAATGAAAATGAAGCCGTACAATATTTACTGAACTTGGGTTTGACCACACATGAAATTGAATTGGTGTTGCAACATTTTTTAAGCAATGCCGAATCGAATATGCGAAAACAACAGCAATACCAACATCGAATAGATGGTCAAGCTAGAAATCCGCTGACTGTTCAAGAGCAACAGCTTGAATTAATCGGATTTTCGCAAAGTGTACGTATAAATAAAGACTCGCACTTGTATAATTTTTTCCATTAAATTAAATGTTATTCATTCGTTTTCTGTGCATACAGCTTCATATGTTAAATCAGGAGGTACATAAAAATTTGCGTCGAAATAAGGTGGGCGTTCATGTTGATAGCATTGATAAATTACCATCAAACTACAAAAGACCACCGGGTTTCACACTTTTGCCCACCCTATTGACCGCATCCATGCAAAATAAAAGCTTGGATAAAAATGCACGACGTCATCAGAATCATATAGATGCATCGCCGAAATTACAACCAAGTAAATTTGCAGCTGCCGCCATTGCCGCAAAAATCACATCAAAATCATCCACACCAATCACAACCAAAAGCTCAGCGAAAAATGAAATGCTCAGGTAAGGAAGAAATTGTGAGAAATTCAATTGAATTGTTATCGCCAACGGCGAATTCCACGAATAACATTTGCATATTTTGAAACATGGCAAAATTGATAAAGAATTTATTTTGATGTCACATATACTTGTACGATGTACGTACGTCACATACCATCAGAGTTTGGTGCTTGAAATTACCTTTTAACCTTGAACACTCGATTACACCCCATTCTTGCGCTTTACCATCTCCAATTCTAAATCCTCAATTTTCGCTAGAATTTTTCTTAGAAGACAAGCTCTCGGGCATATGGCCTTTTTTATCACCTCATTGAACTGAACAGCTTGAGAGCAAGATTCTGCTCTTTTACAAAATATTTAATACAATGATAAACGATTTCAATTTATTGCATGCATACAAACAATGTTCTGAACACAAAGGTAAACGGGATTGAAAAAAAATCGGATCTTTAGAATACAGACACAAATGTTCCCTTCTCACCCCACACACTTCGCCGTTGTCGTCGCTGTTGTCGTCGTCATCTGCATATAATACTGACACTGAACGGGGGCAAAATTAATGATTCGACCCGATAATATTTCTCTTTTTTTTCTCACAAAAAAAAATTCGTTACTTTGACCAACAAAGGAATATCGAATAAAAGAAACCAAATTCGGTGTGAATTGGTGGCGGAGTAATTGATAATAAAAAACGTGGCTTTTTGTTTGTTTATTTATACATTTTCGATTTCAATTTTCAATTCAAATACATTCATTCTGTCTCCCTCTTGCTATCAATTTCTTTATAGTAAAATTCCGAAGCGAAAAAATTCGGCTGTGTCATCGAAACTGACAAATAAATCGAAAGTGTCGTCAGCATCGGTTATAGCGCATCAGGCATTGAATGGTACAAATAAGTGTGATGTTGCGTCAAAACGTACCACACCGACTGCAATCAATGGCAAAATAAAAATTGAATCATCATCATCGTCATCACCACGAGCAAAATTATTCAATCATCATCATCGTTCACAATTGTCGACATCATCATCATCTTCAACACCCAATTCGGCAAATGTTGCTGCATTTTCAGAATCGAATCAACAGCAAACGCGTCGCCTACTGGATTTTATTCAAAAGCAAAAAGCCAATGCTCAAGACAAACGATCAAATGACAATACGAACGGTGACGGCAACATATACTTACAACCGACAGCAAAAAAACCATTAAATGGACGACCGCCGTTTATGCGAAACGGTTACAATGGCGAAAATAGCAATGCAAATCGAAAAAAATCACAAATTGAAAATAATAACAACAAGACACAAACCAATTTCGATAATAAAGTAACGCAACAACCATTTGTACCATCGAAACGAATCATTCAACATCATGATTATCAGAATTTAGTGGATGACACAAAAACTGCATCCCCATCAATTGCAAATCGAAAGCGATACGATAATTGTACATACGATTCGGTGGTGATGAGCAAAGGGTACGTGGGTCGTACCGATTACAGTGAACAACGAACAAAGACGAAAAACGAACAATCATCACCAATCTATCGACATTTTGGCGATACGACGAATTTAGTGCGCAGCAAAGCAAAATCACATCAATTCAATGACAATTGTACAGCAAGCAATCTATCGATTGCAACCACCGAACCGTCAACTGCCACTTTTGAAAAGCATCACAAAAACATTATCAAACAACAACCGACTGAATCATATGCGGAAGTCAAACGAAACAACAACAACAATAATAATAATAATAATAATAATAATAATAATAATACTGATGACAATTTAACCAGCCGAACATCGTCGGACATCATTCCAACTTCATATGTTGTTACAAGCAATTTAACTAATGACACCGGTTTTGCAAGCATTCTGTCAATGGACAATATGGACAACGATGCGACCAGCATTGTTACACACAACAAACCAAAATCAAACAAATCCATTAACATAAAAACGAACAAGTTTCACCTGCCGTTTCACTGTATCAATTACAATGTTAAAAATCGCATCAAAATGTTTGACGTTGATCCATCACCATATCGAAAACATGCAGCCAATAAAATTCACGACAAAAGGTATTGGTATATACAGTTTTGATTCTATCCTTTTTTCTCATTTCTTTTATTTACGTCATATGCTGTTTGAATGATTTATCAAATCTAGTCATCATTTTGTGGATTTTGTCGTCGAGCATAAACGAATAAAAGGAGAAGTTTTGAATGATACCATTTGCCATGGAAGTTGTATAACGTTGTATATAAGAATATTCGTTGTCTTGGAAGACTGAAGCGATGAATCACGAAATCGGGAAAATTGTACAGTAGAGATAACCGTGATTTTCGTTGTTCCTTTGATTCTTTTAAAGCCACATTTGATTTTGAGTATAAAAAATCTGTTATGGATTTTATTTCCGTATGAGATCGTTCTCTCAAGGTGATCTTTGAACAAATCGGATGCATGAAATTAGTGTCTATCTTTAAATGTATCAAAGTATTTATTCATCTGGCACAGATAGACTTACCTTCGAAACGAAAGCTATGTTCATTCTTTAATTTCATATAAACTGGAGACAAAAACGAATTTAGCATTACTCACCGAGGCCCAGTTTCAAAGCTAAAGAGCTTTAAAGTCACCCCAAATACATATTTTACCATAAATATGTTGAAATAAGATATTGATTGCAAAATGTTCTTTAATATCTATTTGACTTTTCAATTTAAATGCTAATTCGTTCTCTTTTTTTTTCTATTTCATTTTTTGCCATCCATAAAGTCATTCGGCCGGTAGTTCGTCAAATGTAAGCAGTTCAAATAGTAATAACAGTGATCATGGGTTCAATTCACTTGATTCAATGGAAAATGATATGCAGCAAAATAATAATGGATTGCGTCACAAAGCATTGGTTACATCATCCGATTCGATGTCTTATTTGGGCCCATTCAACTTTCGAAAATTGTTAAAACCGGTTCAAGGACGTCATTCGCCGCACCATCGAAAACGTCAGAATATTATAACTATTCGAAATGGGGCCGTCTGAAAAAAATGCACCCAGTCGGTGTATTCTGTATTAAAGAGATTAGCATCATTATCATCCCGAAGGAATGGAATTACAATCTACACCGCATACAATCCAAAAATGAAGGATGTTGTGCATCTACTTTTTGGAATTTCATCATTGAAAATATGTTTTTGACATCTATTTTTTTTCTTCGCCTCATTTTCATGTCGTCTGTGTTCAACACAGCTTATTTCAATGTTCATATAGTACGCAATATATGGCATGCGGAAACACAAATTCATCATGACTGTTCACTAGCATGGACCAATTTTTATGTTAGATGGTGATGTAGTGCAAAAGCTTGTCACATATTTCTGCCCGAAATCACGTCGGTTTCAATGCATTCGTGAATAAATCAACATTTTGTCGGACATGCACTGACACACATATTCACTCGGTCGAGATAGTAGGAGAATGGGCGGCTATACAAATAATATTCACTTCGTGTCATGAATTAAATCACCGCTGGTATAACTAAGCGAGAGAAAACTTTAACAGCCTGATTCACCTGAGTACATATTCCAAATTTAAATGGTTACCATTAGCATAGAATTTTGTTAAGTATGATTGATTTGTAGAGAATAAAACATTTTTTACACAGTTAATATATTCATTATTTGAGACGATTCGTTTCGATTTGATGCACATTTGCATCTCAATAAAATGTTGTAGAACCTTTTTTGTTTCTGTTTTAAAAAATTATGGCCAAATTTATTTTGTTGTAAATAACATTTCAATTTATGAAAAAGTGTTCAATTCCAAATAAAAAAAACACGTTGTTAAATTCGAATTAAATAAACCTTTTTTTATGACACTACCAAAAATTTAAATTTTCCAAATGGTATTCGAAGCCAGATTGACGGTAAGTTGTAGTCCTTTATTTCGAGCATACAATAGATAAAATGTTAAAATTGTTATTTAGCAGGGGGTTGTTCACTCTAGTCAACCTGAATACTAGAAAAATTAGTGAAAAACGAAGTCAACTTCACAACAATGGCTGTACATTGTACGCATACCTGATGGTGAGGTCTTTGATGTCAACGATTGCATTGTTCTGAGCAGATGGTGAGAGTTTTCGGTTGAGATTCTGTGCAATTTGAATGATTGTTGGCATCATTGCTTTGAGTTTGCCTGATGTGAATGTTGTTGTTAGTTTTGCGCGTAAATTTTTCCAATCTTGTCCCGATTTCATGAACATATTTCCGGCCACTTCGTCTTTTGGATTGCGATAAAAGCCACGATCATAGAAACTCGCAAAATCGGTGGTTGAAATAGTTTTGATAAGTTTTGCATCGCGCAACAATAGGGCCGGTTTTAAAAGAAAATAAACACCTTCCACGGGTTCATTTTAACTGCGATGAAAGTCCTACAATTCTTTGCCGATCGACTTTCGACCGAGGAACGAATCCGATAAATTACCCAACGGAATCGTCGGAAAAACATGATAACATTCATCAATTCTCTTTTTTCCATTCTCATCGACGCATCGACAAAAATTATTAAATTCTTCACTATGTTGATATTGTGGAACTTTTCTTCACATAATCTTTAACATTTAAGTGGATTGCAAGTATCACGCTTTACTCTCGAGTACCAAATGAAAAGGAAATGTGAATATATTTTTAAAAAATGTAGGCATACATTATCAAATTTGAAACACAAAATTTCTGATATCAATTTTGTGACGAAAATAGTTGGTAGATATATTTTCTGTGAACTGTGAATATAAACTTAATATACATTTGTATATTCGGAACGTTGCTTCATTGCGTCAGTATGAACTCAAAGTAAAAGGAAGAGAATTTCTGCAACGTTTCGAATATACAAATGTATATTAAGTTTATATTCACAGTTTTTTTTAAACCTCGATAGAGGTTTTTTATTTGATATCAATCGTTTTGTAAGCGCTATTTTCAATGTTAAAGATCCAAAAAACATGAATTTGAATCTTTTTCAAATACAATGAAAATATGGATTTTTAGGTTATTTTTGGATCAAAATCATATAAATTGTGGTTCATAATGGGGAAAAGTGGTTTTTTCTGTGGTGTGTGATATGCATATTTTTTTTTATCTTCGACTTGGGGCTTAAATTGATGACATTTTCAAGAGAACATATGCAGTCTTTTTCGCAAAAATGCCCGTTATGTGTGCGGCCAACGGTCAATTTTTGGTTTTTGGCCACTTTGGCCACCCCCACATGAAATTTTTAAGTCGCAATTGGCACCACTCGAGAGCTTACTTTAAGACCTTTCCAACGAATATGCATATGTCCTGGTTATGTCAAGTCTAGGTCCCACAGCGACCCTATGAAATAATGGCCATTTTTGCATGACCTTTTGCATAGTTTGCCATTTATACTAACATTTTTGTAGATTTCTTTTAATTTCATTTGTGACTAACCGCATGCACCTCTCCCGACGAGGGGACATAAAATTCGGTATTTTATCGATCTAATGCGAGATCGAACATGTAGTTATTTGTTGTTAAGATTTCATATTTCATACATCTAGACATTTTTGTGAAAATTCGAATTTTGGTACATTTGGCCGATTTTTGGTGGAATAGCCATCCAAAACGGTCGATATTTTATTCAATTTTGTTTGGCTAGTCACAGAGTATATTTACAGAGTCATTGGAACACATTTTGGCCCATAAAATACTTCAAATGTTAAAAGTAAAATTTTTTTATTCGCACTATCAAAGACCATATCTCGAAAACAAGAATTTTCTGAGATATGAGCTATGCGGAATTTTATAGCTTAGACTTGGGCCATGGGAGCGACGTGAAAAAACTTGACATCAGCGCCAGTCCCTCATAACTAAAAATGGTACAAATTCGCAATAGATGGCGCTTATAAATCGACAAACACGCTTACATTTTATTAGAAGAAAAATGAAAAATATTGAAATATTTTTAAATTAGTTAAATTTAATTGATGTGATTCTAGTGCTTTAATTGATGTGATTTAATTTAAAAGATGTGGTTCTAGTGCTTCTTTTGTTTTCAATAGTTTTTAATGAATTATAGAAAATATCAAATGTGATATTTGTTGTTTCGATATGTCGAAAATGTTGTATTGGTTGATTGTCAAAATGCACAGAATTTTTCGGGGAGAAATTTGTTTAGATTTATAATTTTATAAAATATTTTATGCACTCAATTTATTTTATCATATATGATATCTCAGTGTGCCTTTGTGCACATGTCTTATGTTGTCTCAAAAACACGGAAGACCGCTGAAATGACAAATGCAAAATATGTGCGGACGTACGACAGTGCCATTTCAGCGGGCTTCCGTGTTTTTCATACAAGCTTCCCACATAGATGGCAAAAATTAGCGAAAAATGAAAAAAATAATTAATTTTTTTTTTCTTCAATTCTCAAATACGACTCAATTTTCTATATCACCTGTTGAAATCAGAATGAAAAAAATCGCATTCCATATCATCTAAATCACGATCTGGACTTTTTTTCACTGTTTGAGTGCTCTATACCGAGTCTCCGAGAGTTTCATATAAACTCGATATGTGATGCCCATTGAATAGTAAGCGAATACCAATCGTGATTGAATCAATAGGCGTCATTTGGCTATTGCAAGGCGAGTTTATATGAAACTCTCGGAGACTCCGTATAGAGCATAAAAAGTGAAAAAAATTCTCATTTCTTTTCTCAATTTTCATGCACAACTAAATGGCCTATATCATCTGGTGCGACTGATTGTAAAAATTAGCTATTTCTGTCACCCAATTTAGCTATTTTCAAAATTAGCTATTTCTGTTGTTCAATGATATCTAACTCACCCTTACATGTTATTTCTCAATGCATGGTATTGTGTTTACAAACAACGTTCTATTGACACACAACAGCGCTATAAAAATCGCTGGTACAATCCATTTAATTGTTTATGAAATTTGAGAATAAGAAGTTTTTTTTTCACTTTTTGTGTGTTCTATACCGAGCCTTCGAGAGTGTGAAATATTTATATCGTTAAACTGCGTCGCATATCAAAGCGAAACAAAATTCTGTTACTAAAACAAGGCAGAACAGTAGCTAGTTATCAGCACAAAATGAAACTTACACATTTTGTATAATAAAAAGTCAATGTTCTTTATTCCTTTGGTAACGACATATTGTCTCGCTTTGATATGCAACCGTTTTGAGTCGCGTTTCGATATGCGAATAAACAATAAGTTGTTTTTTTTCTAGAGCGTTCATATTTCGGAAGAAAATGTGTAAAATACAAGGGCCGAATTTCTGCTTGCACATAAATTGGTTTTGCACGATAAAAGCATATTGGCAGAGCGGGTTTTGTTGATCGGTACATTTTTAAAGAAATCAAAAGAAATTTATCCCAAAATATCAGTGTATTGGAAACCAGATGAAGCTGGAAAACTAAATGAAATATATAAATTTGTAAAGAGTCGTGTTCGTATACGCGAATCCATACTAAATAACACAATATATGCTCCAATAGAGGCAAAAGATTTCGGTTTTCCATTATCAGCCGAAGCTCGACTATACATCAAGAAAATGGTGGAACAAGCAAAAGGCAGCCTTCTCTTACAATTACAAAATATCAATAATCGAGTCACCCGATTGCAATCAGATCGAAAATGTTAGGGCCATTATGAAGGCAAGTCTTCGTGGTAAAACACACCGCAATTTGAAGCAGCTCAGTTCATTCATTCAACGCCAGTGGAAAGATTTTCAATGCGAATATGCTGAAAATTTGAGCAAAAGTATGCCCAACAGATGTGCCCGTGTGATCGAGAAAGAAGGAGAATGGATTAAATATTAATTTTTGGCGCCGTAGCTTAGATACTAAATAAAATGTATATAAAATAATTTTGTAAAACTCTTGAGTTTTATTATAAAAAATCAACCTCCCTCTATAATGAAACATACTGTAGCAACGCCTGTGAATGGATTCGCGTGGAATAGCGAAACAGTGCATGGAATAGCAAAAATTGTTTCACTTCAAATCCATTTGACATTTCTTTTGACGTTTATTGATGGATTAGTGGAATAGTGCGGAATAGCAGAATAAACATTTTTGACGGAAACATTGCATGGAATAGCAAAAATAGTTTTGATTTCACATTTGTGTTTTTGGATTAGTGGAATAGCTGGATTAGTAATTTATATAGTGGATTCGGAATTTATTCTTGGTGTCTCCCCCCTAGAGTTCAAAGTGAAGTAAGTCATGCAATTCAATCAATGTATGATTATAAAAGAATGTTAAAAATAGTCCATGTTGGACAATCGAAAGTAGAATATTACAAACAAATGGATGCGATCAATTTTAAGAATCTCACCAATCTATTCAGAGAATTAATAACAGAGATCGGCCTACAATTGATTGGTGAACAGGAACTCAGACAAGTTGAACGATATGAAAATAATCTAAATTTGTTGGAATCATTAATAGACAAATAGACGACAGCACCAGCAGCCAGCTCAATATTCATACATTGTCTGGAGTTTTACATTGGCTCAATGCAGAAGTCAATAGACGATTTTGATGTCAAATGGTGTCGACATTGGTGACGGTATCTTGAAACAGACTGTGTAATCCATATTCATCTTATATGATCCTATGTAAAGTTCTATACTTGATCTAGTTCACATTGACGGTTCAAATCGTTTATGTCAACTAGCGTGGACAT